AGAGGGACTATCATCAGCACAGGCATTCCGTATCTTGGTTGTATCTATCAAGACTTTCAGCAGCTAGAGAATTTGCCTATATGAAAGTGCTCTTGGATAGAGGTTTCCCTGTGCCAAAGCCAATTGATTTTAACAGACATTGCGTTATAATGGAGCTGGTTGAAGGTGGACCTCTGTACGTTTGTCAATAACTCTCTGGATACTGTGTAGTTTTATATACTGCTTTGATTACAGCTTGTTTTGTTTACAGGTGTAATGTACATGAAGTGAACAATGTGGAAGCATTGTACGATGAACTCATGGATTTGATTGTTAGGCTGGCGAATCATGGTGTTATACATGGAGACTTCAACGAATTTAATATAATGATCAAAGATGATGGCAAGCCAATTATTATTGATTTCCCACAGATGGTTTCTACGGAACACGAGAATGCAGAAGAATATTTTCAAAGAGATGTGAATTGTATTCGTGAGTTTTTTAAAAGACGTTTTGGATATGAGAGTGAACTGTACCCAACTTTCCAAGATATATCGTAAGTAGCAAAAGAATGTATATTCTTTATTTCTATTATTCTTAGTTATTACATCTTTTATTAATTTAATAAATTACATTATGGTTTCTTTCAGACGTGAAGATTGCATAGATGCTGAAGTGAATGCTAGTGGTTTAATGAAACAGATGCAGAAAGATCTCTTAAAAGAACTAAACATAACAATAGATGTTGAAAATGAAGAAGACAGTGAGACAGAAACATATGAGGATTGCATTAATAACGTTAAAGATCTAGAAGATCAAATAAATAATTTACAACTTGAACCTGAAATCTCTAAAAAAGAAGAATCTGCTGTTCTCACACATAATGTAGCGATAAATAATAATGAACGTTTTGAGGAAATATCTACAATATCTTCCAAAAAACAAAATGATTCAGAAAATAAGTTCAAACAGAATAATGAAGATATAGCTACAGAAAATATAGTGATTGATAAAGAACATAGTAAACATGCATTATATGATTTATCATCAAATGCGGAAGACGAAGTAGCTTATGATAATGATTATGATGATATACAAAGTATACGGAGTGTCTCGACAGCTGCTACAATCGCACCAGAAGTAATAAAAAGAAAGGTAAAACTCGCGCTCGACAATCGCGAGAAGAGGAGTCAATCAAAGAGGACACTTGTTAAAGGAGAAGCGAGCGTAGTTACGAGGACACGAAGGGAAAATAGGGCTACAATTAAAGACAGTTTAACAGGAATTTGGGGTTTGGAATGAAGCACTAGTCATTGTAAGTTGTTTACTATGCATATAACATAAAAACAACTCTAATTAAAAAGATACCATTTTGTTAATAATTTGATATAAATATACGTTCGCGAATATAAATGATTTCTTCGCATGTTATATTTCCATTATTTATACCCATGTTATCTTTATATGTGCTACATGTTGTGATTATAAATTGCATAATAACAACACAAGCACGATTTCTGACGTTACCGTACTTGTTTTTCGCGAGTTTTATAAAAACCAAGTTGTGCAGATAAGATAGTAAGACATATTTGAGATAACTCATAGAAGTGTTTATATTAGTATTGAATATTTCTTCTCGTATATTTCATTTGTAAGAAGACAATAATTTTGTATGAAAAGTAGTTCTCTCAGGCATATCCAATCCATTATTTACTTCAATTGTATACAATTTAATAATATTCTTATGACATGACTAGTATATGTAATTACAGAATATGTACTATCAAAACACATACAAAATGATATTATGATTCGTGTACTATTAAATGCTACGTATAAATCTGACTTGGAAATTAAATGTACATAAGATCTATACATTATTAATGAACAGTTCCACCTTGAATACAATATTGCCAATATGAATATAAATGAGACTTTTTGCATCTTCAAATATATGCTAAGATTGGATAGCTCGAGTTAAATTAAATATAGAAATTTCAGAAATCCAGATTTTTTCCGTTTATTAAATAAAAACTTGTCATTCTTGGATCCAAAAGTAAAATTCTCAAGATTCTACATCTTACATTACACTATTTCTCTAATGTATGACATTTGTAGGACACATGCTACACTTAGCTAGATTTTTTTATTCCTTTTCTATTCTCTTCCAATCAGAATCTAATGAAATCCCTAGTTTTAAAACATTGAACCAATTGGCATAGTTTTAAGAAATGTATTCTTTCTAGATATATATGAGTCATATGCGCTAGATGAAGATAAAATATATATATTTATAAGATTTCTAAAATTTTCAAAAAAAATTCAAATATTTGTCATGCTCTAAGAGGCAACAATTCAATTTTAAGTGTATAAGTGAAAATATAATTCATAACTTGTGTTTTATATCTCATGGTTTATATCACGTTACTTTACAACATAACGTTGCACATGACATAGAGAGGAAGGTTGAACGTTCATTGATAGCAGGAAGGAAAAGCGAGATTACAATATACAGTGCGCGGATCGATTTACTAGTTCCAACAAAACAGCGTGTGTCCGCGACGCAACGGCCGATGGTGTAATTGCAAAATATGAACAAATCGGAACATCCGATAAAAGTTCGCGCCCGAGGAGGTGGTGATGGTGGAGACAACGACTTAGCGAGCGATAATAAGACTGCGGTGATAGTGTAAAGCACATATACATACAACTGCGACGCGTGTATATATAGCAGCGAGTTTTCTCCTGAACACCGAGTCTCTTCGTTCCGTTCGTGCTGTGCGTATCAAAATATTCGGAAGCGTGAATCTCTTAAACGAAAGGCGGATCGCATCTCGTTACAGTGTTCTTTTTTATCAAATCCTCAAACAATGGCTCAGGACAATCTCACTGCTATATTATATGGCATCAATGATTTGCGGCTGGTTAGTATTTGATACACAAGCAGATGATGAGCTTGCACAACTGCGCCTGCTCAGCATCATTCTTATGATCATTTCGATCAAGCTTTAAACTTTCGTTGACCTAATGTTTTATTATAACTATTCAAGGACGAGGAAAAAAATAGCGTAAAACGTCAAAATGTTATTGATATATTGTTTTTTTTTTATCAATAGCTTGGAAAATTGATAACTATTTTCACTTCATATAATTAGTCGACGCATAATTATAATTTTTGTAATGTAGATGCAATATTATAATATGATAATATACAATTTTTATATTGAAATATTATCCTATTAAATTTGCGATTTTTGTAGTATTTATTCGCGTTTATACGATCTAAAAACAATTTATAGAATTCTTTTTTTATCTTTTTTACATTTTCTTACGATCCTTTTCTTTTTTCTTGCAATGCACGAATATATATGTTTACTTTATTTTGAATACAGAAAGTATAACATAATATAGCTAAAAAGATCAAATCTTTAAACTTTCTATAAAAAGTGAGAATGATGTAACGTGTTTGTTTTGATAAAGTATCACAGCATCAGCTAAGCTTTATAATAATAATTACCAAAATATTGTTAAAGCTAATATTCAATTTTATATGTAGTCCAATTTTGAACATTTGCCCTTTGAACCATTAAGTCAAACTATTCCGATCGATATTACAATTGTTTATTTGATCCTGATAGCTCTATCTATCTACGTTAATTTTAGTTTATAAATTAATGTTATTTATGTGTGTTAATATTGCTCAAGACATATTGTAAAATATAAAACTATTTTTTATATATTAATATATATGTAGAAGATAATTAGTTACATGTTTTTAGGGAGGGGAGAGGGAGGAAATCCTCGAATATAAAAAATACAGGATTTATACTTTTACAAAATATTCTATCAATTTTTTTGAATTTGCTAATTTTTTAGATAAAGATAACGTAACATTGCGTAAATAATTATATTTGTTTTTCTCAAGAAACAGAAACAGATAATTTTATTTATATTTTCATAACACGATATATACGAATATAA